CAAGACCAGCCGGTATACGCTTCTCGGCAGACACATGCAATATAATGACCAGGTTAAGCTGTCATGAGTCTTCCCTAGGAGCTATGTAAATTACTAGGTTGAGAAATGGCGCGGGCTAGCTGCCCTTGTTGAGGGTGAAATGAGTCTCTCTGAGCTTTGGTTAGTAATACTTTTAGTCTTGGTTTCATGATAAAAAGATTTCAAAAGCTATATATATATATATATATATATATATATATATATATATATATATATATATATCCAAACGAGAGAAAGAACAATGGAGTAAAAACCACGATTCGTGGCATTTAGTTTTTAAAATGTGCTCAATACAAAGTAGAGCAATATATTATTTTATTATATTTTTATTGTAAGAGATTATAATAAAACATTTTGAAATCGCTACACACAAACTTTCATGTTTCAATACTGTGATTGTACTTCTTCAAGCAATGAAAAGTAACTGGTAATTAAATGATTTTTAAGAAAATTTAAAAACAAAGTGTTACCTCTTTTCTGAAAGTTAAAGTGGTGGGGACATGAGGTCAGAATTAAAAATAGACTTGTGGGTATGTCTTGATTAACCAATTATATGTCATATGTGTGCTAAATAGAAAAGTCATCTCAGAGGGTGGAGGTGGATGATTTATTTTTTCATGCCATGTTAAACCGAAACATAGATATTCCATCATTGAAAATTGTGGAAGTCAATTTTTAATTCAGACCTTTGATATTCAGAAAGAAGGTAAAATTTTGTTTTTAAATTTATTTAAAATCATTTAATTACTAGTTACTTACCATTGCTTGAAGAAGCACAAAGTATTGAAACATGAAAAGAATTGTGGCGATTTCAACAAGTTTAATTATAATCTCTTATAATAAAAAAATAATAAAAATACTATATATATATATATATATATATATATATATATATATATATATATATATATATATATATATATATATATATAATATATATATATATATATATATATATATATATATATATAATAATTTTATTAATTTTTTATTTTTTTTAATTTTTTTAATTTTTAATTTTTTTATTGTTCAATATATATATATATATATATATATATATATATATATTTTTTCTTATAAGTGATTATAATAAAAACATAATAAAATCCTTAAGCAAAAGCTTTTATGCTTCAATACTATGATTGTATTTCCTCAGGCAATGTTTTGTAACTGATGATCAAAATGATTTTTTAGGGAATTTACAAACAATTCCCTTACAATTTTCCGAAAGTTTGAGGGGCTGGGTATAAGGTCAGAATTAAAAATATACTTGTGGGTGTGTCTCGATTAACCAATTAAAAGTCAGATCTAAGCTAAAGTAGAAAAAATACTGTCAGAGGATGAAGTGGGGTGAGTTTTTTTTTTTTTTTTTTTTGTCACAATAAACCGGCGTTTAGTCATGTAATCCTTGTGGAAGAAAAAATGTAAATGCTACGAACTGTGAATTTTTACTCCATTTGTTCTTTTCTTATATATATATATATATATATATATATATATATATATATATATATATATATATATATATATATAGTGTGTGTGTGTGCGCACGTGCGTGTGTGTGTGTGTGTGGGCGCGCACGTGCGTGTGTGTGTGTTTGTGTGTGTGTGTGTGTTTTATCATTACATATAGTGTTTTGTCTTGGATTTCCCTTGCTGACAGTGTCAGTAAAGTTGGATGACGAACGGCGGGAGCAGAAAATAAATGAGTTGAATTTTTTTTTTTTTTACTTTGACATGTTTCGCTGATTAATTGTGTGTCATCAGAAAAAAATATTTTACAAGAATATAATGTATATTAGCGAGACGAATCATATTACGCATTTGAACGCTTTTATTTGATTGCGAACGCCTCCCACGTTGTTCCAGAAATAATTTAATAAGAACATGTGGGTCAACGGAATAGCCGGCTCGTATATTAATTAGCTCCAAAATAATGACTTTCTGGGTAAAATATATTCACTCTTTTAAAAGACATTTTCCGGATGAAGTGATTCCGAAGATTTCGCTGCTACACAATTGCATCTATTGTATTGCTTGATTTTTACGTCTTCAGTTCCTTATTTTCTGTAAATCAGGGTATTCTTCGCCGTTGTGTTTCTGGGGGTAGTTTACATTCTGTTTTGTAGATATCTGCTTCTAATGTAATTTTAAACTTTCTGCTTTACATAAATGAAACGTGGGGTTTGAAAATGACAAAACGCAGAAAAACATTCAGGACTTCGATCGAAATCGTAACTCTGAGTTCAAACTATTGTGTAATTATGTAATCATCATCACGTGACCATAGCGTGAAACTATGAGATACGATTTGGTTTGCTTAGAATTTGGTATCTTACAGGGTGGCCCAAAAGTAACCAAGGGATTTCAAAATTTAGCAACTCCTCTGTTTTTTTTTTTTAACTTTAACTCACAATATCATAGCATTTATATAGAGTTTATATAGGAAATAAAGTACGCTAGTTAAGAAAGATTACATCTTTTAAGGGATATCCGTTTTCAGTTTCACAATAAATTTTTGAAGGAAAAAATATTACCAGCAATAAAAATCTTGTCGGCATTAAATAACCCATTGACTAAATATGCCGTAAATAAAACAAAACGAGTCTAAGGCTTGTTGATAAATCTTTTATTTGAAAAAAAAAAAAAAAAAAAAAAAACGAAAGAAATCGTGGCTTTTGCGATCTGAGGAAAATGGTGGCCAGTTTACACTTTGAGATTTGAGTTGAAATTATGAATCCTTTGTTTTGGTAGAAAGATTTTTCACGACTTGTGCTCATTTTACAGTCGTGTATTTTTACATGATTCATTTCCAAAGCCTTCTTTATAAAATACGTGAAAGAAAACTAAAAAAAAGTTCATAAACAAAAAGTTATTAAACTTTGAAATACCTTCGTTACTTTCGGGACACTCTGTATATATACATATGCACGCACACACACACACACACACATATATATATATATCGGATATCATATAATTGGGCAGATTTTCAACTAAGAAAACCTGTATATAAATTCTCTCCCTTCCTCGCAATATACTCAATATAGACACTCATGAGTGTAATTTTTCATGAGTCTTTTTTATTCTGTATCCGGTATCTGATTTTACCGTCGACAACAACTCAAATATTCTCTTCTTCTATGTGGAATATTCCTTCAGGACAATAGGGTTCATGGCTCTCCACTATTTCCTCTCCTTTATAGTAAATTTGATCTTTTTGCTATTTTTCCTAAACCCTGTTCTGTCATTCACTTACACAGATTCGTTAGTTAGATTATCCACTCTTTTCCTCTGTTCCTCTTGCCTTCAATATGTCCTGGGAGTGTAACATTTTCCAAGCCCTCTTTTCTCATTATGTGCCCTAGAAATTTTAACTATCTGTTTCTTATGTTAAGTATAAGTGTCGTTTTTGTTTCCATTTTCTATAAAACTTCCTCGTTGCTTACATGTTCTGTCCATAGTATTCTCGGTATCTTTTTGTAGAACCTGATTACTGTTGCTTCAAGTCTATTCTTCGTCTGTGAAGATATTGTCCAGCATTCACTGCCATATGAGAGGACTGTTTATTAGATAACCGTTCAGTACGTTTTACTTTGTTTTTAATGAAATTTTCCTTTTTTATTTGCCTAGCTTTTGGAAAGCATATTTCGCTGTACCAATGTTACTTCGGATTTCGGTGTCACACTTTCTATCTCTGTTAAAACCTTTCCTAGATATTTAAATTGTAGTACTTGCTTGATTTTGGTATCTCCAATGTGCATGTTGGATTGTTATTTTAGCTGACAACCATGCATTCTGTCTTCTTGCAATTGATGTTTAGTCATCGTCTTCTCTCTTTACTTTATAGTTTTAAATTAGAAGAACGAGGAGAGGTATATCTATATAAGGCCTTGACACCATGTTCAACACCTCGATGCAGACAGTGGCAGTATGCGAAGAGGGACACCAAGACACCTGTTGCTCACAACATTATGATCACCTGCATATAGTTCGCACAGAGGGAGATGTCTTGATGTGGTTCTTAGACAGTGCCTACGTACAAAGAATCACTTCTCTTGTCCTGTCTCAGACTGGTACCTACCATCTTAATAATCTCGATACATCTAAACGAGTTTAACGTCCTATTATGGCCGTCATGACACACCCTGACAAAGGAAGTAATAGCTGGCTTACCCGAATGGTTATTAGCGTAAATACATTTCCCCCTGCATTCTGCTGTTTACAGATACATCATGGTGAAACGCCAGTACCGTTACGATCACCGAAGTTAAGCAATAGTCAGTACCTAGATGGGTAGCCGCTTGGGAATACCAGGTAGTGTAAGCTTAGGTGTGCGGGTGGTGTAATGGATAATGGCTCAGAATTTGAAATCGAAGTCCAAAGTTCTAATTCCAGTTATATTCACTTATGCTCAAATAACATTGGAAAGGGTATGAATCCATATCTTCTCTCCCCAGTTATGGGTTAATTAGTAAGACTTTTATTGCTAACCCATTATTATCTCCCTAAAAATTCTTACAAAGTAAAAATATTTTCTGGCTTTAAATAACTTGTAATGGGGTGATAAGGCATAAAAAACGAACTAATCAATGAATCATGCTTTCTGCTTCAGTATCAGACATGAAGAAATTTCTAACTAATGGTAGGCCACGATGTTTTATAGCTAAAACAGTACTTACATGATAATTTGGACGAAAGACTTTCAGATAACAAGCATATCTATCCGGGAATTAGAATTAGAAAATTATCATTACTGATATTGTCAACCTTGACATAGGCAAATAATAACAAGATATATGTGAATTTTAACTTGGAAACGAAGGATCCTGTACGTTTTTTGATGATGTGAATTATTATGTGTATATCTTTGCTTTTTTGTTTTTAATTTTTAAGTTGTTGTTTTTTTTTAGTCTTGTATCTTGTTTCGCCATCATACTTCTTCAGTGTCTGAAGGGTTTTCTAGAATCCTTCCTCATCAATCAAATTGTCTGTCATCTTTACTCTCGAAATACCAATCAGGGCAAAATAGCCTTTGAGGGCCCACTGAGAGTATGAGGAGATAGGATTTAGATGAGGACAATGAAAAGAAGAAGAAGAAGAAGGAAGAAGAGGAGGAGGAGAAATAAGAAAGAGGAGAAAGAAGAAGAAGAAAAAAGAGGAAAAATAAGAAGAAAGAGAAGAAGATAGAGAAGAAAAAGGAGAAAGAAGAAAAAAGAGGAGAAAGAAGAAGAAAGAGGAGGAAGAAGAAAAAGACGAAGAAGAAATAAGAGAAAGAAGAAGAAGAAGAAGAAAGAGGAGAAAAAGGAAGAAAGAAGAAGAAGAAAGAGGAGAAAGAAGAAAGAGAAGATAGAGGAGAAAGAAAAATAGGGGAGAAAAAAGAGGAGGAAGAGAATAATAATAATAATAATAATAATAATAATAATAAGAAGAAGAAGAAGAAGAAGATGAAGAAGAAGAAAGAGGAGAAAGGGAAGGGGAAAAAGAAGAATAAATGCAAAAGAACAGGCAAAAAGAAAAATATATGAAAGATATAAAGCTAAAACCTAAAAGAACAAGAGTAAGTATAAATTAACGCCCCCCCACCACCACCACCACGAAAAAAAAAAACTTAAATGAGCAAAGAAGAGAAAAGTTGGAAATAGTAGAAAAAGATGAAAAAAGAAGTGAGCTTAGGGAAAAAGTCAGATGAATAAAAATGAATAAATCTTTCTTTTCTAACCCCTGGCAAGGCGATAATGTCACTAAGGCGCAACATTTACCGGCCTGAATGTCGGAGAAATCTCACATGTTTGGAAACATATTTTCTTTTGAAATTTCTCGGCCATTCAGGCCGGTATATGTTGTTAAAACTGTTTGTTGTTAACAGAGAATTTACTTAAATATTTGTATTTATAAAAATAACGTCTAAACAATAATTATATTAAAATGATTGTCGGACTTAGTTATTTTACACACACACACACACACACACACACACACACACACACACACACATATATATATATATATACATATATATATATATATATATATATATATATATATATTAAGAAATGGACAAAGTCCGACAATTTATTTATTAAAGACATTTTTATGTTTAACGTTCTTTTATAGATACAAGTATTTAAGTAAATGCTCTGTTTATAATAAACATTCAGGCCAGTAAATGTTATTTAATACTGTTTATAAAAAATATATATATATATATATATATATATATATATATATATATATATATATATATATATATATATATACTTTAAAAGTCAGGAGGTCAGTTGAATCCGCTGATTTTTAAAGTTAAAAGGTCTATGTTATTTTTACTTTTGTTTTTTCACATGTATTGAGCACTTTTTAATACAACCGTTTCCAGGTCTGATTCAACTCATTAAAATTTTTATATATATATATATATATATATATATATATATATATATATATATATATATATATGTGTGTGTGTGTGTGTGTGTGTGTGTGTGTGTGTACATAATTTGTATATTTCGGCAGCAATGCTTCTTTCACCCACATTTCATTGCGTAAGACAGACAAGGTACTTTGATTTAGTTTTTTTATATACATTTTCACGGATGGCGCAATATTTTTCAAGGCCAAACAAATTTTATCACACACCTCGAAAATAGATTCATATTATTGCACACCACTGCAAATAACTTAATCTGAGGAAAAAATAAATATTGATTACACCCTGTCACTCCAGGGGGTCTAAAACTGACCGTATGGCGAAAGAAAGGAAACTAAAGCAGTTGTTTCAATTAATTTGCGCAAGGGTGTAATTTCCAACATATTTTGAAAAATAAAAACCTTATATATATGCAGTTTCTTTCAACTTATTGACTAGCCATCATCTTTTCAGAAACATCATATCTGAGACTTCTTTCAAATGACTGATTTTTCAGGATCGTTTCTTTTTACTGTGACTTTGGTTTGGAGAATAAAACAAGTAACGCACAATTGTCTTTCCCAAGAAGTCATAGAAATTCATAAATAATAGAGAAATAGAATATGTAATGGAACTTGACCGCCTATAGCAACATAGCGTTGAAAAATACAACATGAATGATGAATTTCAATACTTTTTACACACAAACTGCCATATATGGTTATATCACAGAATCTAATTAATAAACGATGGATTAAAAAAGAAAAACAGTGACAATTATGATAACCGCTCAAAATAATTCCAGTTCTTAATCTCAGACATTCGGACAATACAGAAAGATCGAAACACATCTGGGGGAGAGAGAGATTGGATCTGATGCTCGGGTAGTTCTTTTCTCACCAGAATATTGCTGCCACATCTGATCTGGTGCTTCTACTATGTATCTAGAAATTCTTGACAGAATCCTAAGAAGAATCTGCCGTGTTTTCGATCCCGACCTGGTATACCGGCTTGAATCACCTTCCCCACCGTCATAATGTACATTCTCCCCTGTAACTTTTCTATAAATATTTTCATGGTCATTCATACACTGTTTTCCTGTTCGATTTGTGTTTGATTGACAGACAAAAAATATACATATGGGTAGTAGTTAGGACTTTATAGAGACTTAGAGGTATTATGGTGAATGTAGTAAGAATATTAAGTAAGAATGTGTTGTTTTGGTGTACGGAATACTGTACTATGTTTGGGTCAGTAATTGCGGCTAGCTAAGTCTAAGATAAAACCAGCCTTCCCTCATGTCCACAATTTGGCCTTGTGTTACATTTCTTTATTTTAAATAGAATAAATATCACTTTCCTATTTGATATTTGACATCATGAATAGTAACAGTAACGTCTTATTTTACTTTTGGAATTTTAGATGTAACCTTAAGTTCTACGCTCTTGCATTTCTTACTTGTGGAGTTGTCTTTCGGGTTGTTGTTTTCTTGCTAACTATGATCTTTAAAAAATTTAATGTAACGTCAATCACCATCTTCTTGAAATCCGTTCTTTTATTGTCCTCTTTCTGCTAAAATTCTTTTCAGTTATTTTCATCACTCGACCCCTTAGTGGCATCATTGCGTTGCTACGGGTGAAATGGTAAAAATAAAAATTGTAAATAATAGTACCAATACAGTGTGAAATAAAAAAAAATAACAATAAATGCCTGGACTTTAGAATAGCCGAAAAATTGTATAGAAAAAGAGGGGAAAAATTAAAATATGTAAAAATGAGGCAAACACGGCGTTTAAATGAAAGCGTTTACTATTAGCTACAGCGGATATCAGTGATTTCTTTCTTGGACAAACTGATTCTTGTGTGGATTTATGCTGTGAATCCATGAGAATGTGCATGCAAATGTGTCGGGTTCTGTGACTCTATGAGAATGTGCATGAAAATATTGAGCGCTCTCTGAATCTATGAGAATGTGCATGTAAATGTTTAGGCGGCTGTGAATCTATGAGAATGTGCATGCAAACTTTTGGGAACTGTGAATCTATGAAAATGTGCATGCTAATGTTTAGGGGTCTGTGAAACTATGAGAATGTGGATGCAAGTGCTGAGGGTTCTCTGAATCTATGAGAATGTGCATGCAAATGTGTAGGGGTCTGTGAATCTATAACAATATGCATGCAAATATTTAGGTTTCTCTTGCATTTCTCACTTGAGGAATTCTCTTTCGGGTTCTCGTTTTCCTGCTAACTACGATCTTTAAAAAATTTAAAGTAACGTCAATCACCATCTTCTTGAAATCCGTTCTTTTATTGTCCTCTTTCTGCTAAAATTCTTTTCAGTTATTTTCATCACTCGACCCCTTAGTGGTTTCATTGCGTTGCTTCGGGTGAAATTGTTAAAAAGAAAAAATGTAAATAATAGTACCAATACAGTGTGAAATAATAAAAAAAATAACAACTAATGCCTGGTCTTTAGAATAGCCGAAACATTGTATAGAAAAATGGTGGAAAAGTTAAAATATGTAAAAATGATGCAAACATGGCGTTTAAAAGACAGCTTTTACCATTAGCTTACAGCGGATAGCAGTGATTTCTTTTTGGAAAACTGATTCCTGTGTGGATTCATGCTACAAAGAATGGGGGACTAGAAAACAAGGACTTATTTCTCGTGTCTTATGTGTATCTCCATTTATGTTTGTTGCTAAATCGGAAAATTTCCGTCTTTTCACGCTTAGTTGACTTCTAAGTGACAACGATAAATCAAAATGTTGTTTGGGAAAATATTCTCCGGCATCTCACAGTTAGATTCAGACTCCAGCATCACTCAGCTTCATCTTTCGTCTCAAAAGACTTTTTCCCCCAATTTATTTTCTTTATTTCTTTAATGTTGTTTGCTTAAATCCATCTTAATTATTGTTAAAGCTCTGCTGCCATTACGGTCAGATTCACGTCTGTTTCTCATCTTCAGGCTTAGCTTCCTCACCTTCCCTAGTTATCTTTTCATGTATCTGCATGTTTACACTAGTTGTCTCGTGGTTGAAGCTGAGGGTCAAGAGATAGAAAGGCTTCTGAAAATTTAATCATGAGTTTACCGAGAGGGTTAATGCGGTTAGTGGGAGTATCATAATTTATCTCCATGGAAAGGAGAACCTTCAAGCTGTGTTGCGGCGAAATCGGTTTTGTTTACTTGGCATTAACTTTGGGAACCTCGAGGCGGAGTAATGGTTAGCAAGCTTGTCTCGCTAGAACAATTACGACTGAGTAGTGAGTTCGATCCTCACTGGGTGCCCCATACTTTCAACCTTGTGCCACATCTAAGCTACGCTTGGAAAATCAATACTTGGCATTAACTGAAATAAAAAGTAGGTTAGACGGTTTTGTCTAGGCATGGGTGGCAGCCATTTTCGGAGAAGGACAACAAATCCTTGGAGAATGCGGTGTTTACCCATTCCCCCACGAGAATGAGATGTGACACAAGGTCGTTTTAATGTGGGGACTCGAGCGCGTACACTCGGGCAGGGACAAAAATTCCTCTCAGCCCCCGCAACCGTCGGTTGCGCTGGCCTCGGTGCGAGCACCGATCCCTCCTTCTGTTGCAATGGGAGGACGCGGCCTCGGGCAGCTGTTCCCCAGGGCTGGGCACCACTTCAGTATTGTTTTCCTCAGTTGCTCCTTTGTCCTTTGACAAAGAAGCCCTCGAGCACACTCTGTCCAAGGACAGAGAGGTAACTGAGAGATGATAAATCCTTGGAGAATGCAGCTGGAAAGCAATCCACTATCTGTCACAAGAAACAACGGCAGTTCACAGATAATAAAGAAATGGAATGTATGGAAAACCATGATCGCCCATGCTCTGAAATAAAATAAATAATAATGATATTAAACATGGTTTGTACTCCATCATGTCTCTGTTAATACCGTTAGAAATACATTTCAAACGTTTCCAACTTTTTCAATTGTTATAAAAGAAACATTCCCACAGGTGAAACGAACCAAGCCTCTCTCTCTCTTTCTCTCTCTTTCTCTCTTTCTCTCTCTATCTTTCTCTCTCTTTCTCTCTCTCTTTCTCTCTCTCTCTCTTTCTCTTTCTCTATTCCCACAGAAAATATTCTGACGTGTGACATTCCTTAATTTCACCAGTTCAGACATTTACACCTAAGACTTCCGCCATTCCAGTTCACTGGGAAGACCTATCTTCATTCTTTTCAAATTCTATTAGTAAGAAGAAGGTTCCATTGGAATCGCTTCTTTCCAAGAACTTTGTGGAACAAACTCTCTAAGGAATTCCTACCCTATCGCTACGATCAAATATAAAGCCTACATATCATCTTAATCTGGACTTATTACTTCTTCATCATACGTCGATATAACAACCTAATTCAGCAACCCTCTGCTTTGAGTGGTTCTCGGGCCTTGTATTGGGTGAACTATAGTGAAAGAAAAACTATTCTTTAGTTTATTCAGATGGGTGGAGTTTTTCTCATTTGTTATTCGTCCTGGGTAAGACGATAAACTACATCCAACAGCAAGGTCTCCGATCAGGAAATTTTGAGGAACGTGGAACTACATCTTAATTGCTGTAGTTACCAGGTCTATCCTACCCTGGAGTTGTTGCACCTGTTAGGGTCCCAGGTATGGGCTAATAATTAACCGCTAAACTGCGACTAAAACACTATGAAAGTGTAAAAATAAGTTTTAATACCAGCTATATATTTTTGGAAAAAAATATTACCAGTAATACATTTCTGAAAATAAATTATCAGCAATATATTTTGGAAAAAAAACTCTTACCAGCAGTACATTTTACAAAGCAAATATTATTAGTAGTACATTTTTGAAAAAAAAAATTCCAGCAATAAAAATCGTGTCGGCATTAAATAACTTAGTGAGTTTTATATGCCGTAAAACAAACCAAACCATATTCTACCAGAACAGTCACGTTTGGAAGACTTTTGTTTCCTTGTCAACAATAAACAGATGAGTGGATGGTTTGCATTTTACATTCTCAGAGAATTTTACATTTTTATCTCGCAAGACAGATTTCGGTTTTTACGATTTGTTTACATGGATGTACTGGCGTCATTTGCACAGTTCACAGTGAATTACATTTCATACCCAATAACCTCTGCTCTTGCATCTTTTTTTTTAGTCAGTTTGCTGCCTTCATTGTTTACTGTTGACCCTTTCACCTCAAAGACGACATTTTGTTTTGTTTTTTCCTATTGCATTTGCCTTGACAAATTTAATTTTAGTCCATATTATTATTATTATTATTATTGAGTGACGCTGTGATAATAAATCTACAAATACTAATTATGATACCGAAACAGTTAAGAGTATCCCAGTTATAACAGGCACATGCATTGCAGCCAAATCTGTGCGATAAGGGGGCAGGATTTGATAAAAGCATCGCATTACCCAGCAGGTAGAGGAATTTTAGAAATATCTGAAATATCTTATCACTTCCGCTCCGATGGCTTCCGGTTGAGGGTGTTCCCAAGTTTCTGAATGTGACAAAAAAAAAAAAAAATCTTTACATCTGGCTAGAGTTCTCTCTCATTGCTTCTGATCACGAAGAGATGCACTGCGTATAAAGCCCGACTAGTTAAGCTCAACTAAATGACACGTAAATCGGTGGCATTGAGAGAAATATTTACTGTAGCCAAATTTTCACCAATATAAAATGTGTTCAAAACTGTCAATCAATTAAAATCAGAATACTTGAGAGCTATGCAATGTGTAGCATCAGGGGCATTTATTATTATTATTACCATTATTATTATTATTATTATTATTATTATTATTATTATTGTTGTTGTTGTTTCCTTTGATTTCTGGTGTGTACTCATTTTTCCGATCCCGACCAGAGACCTAAGGTCAGAAAAGGCGTCATCACATTTTCCATTGAGCAATTAAAAAAAAAATCACACATGTTTTACACTGATAAAGCTCTTCGTAAGGTGTTGGCTGTACTCGTGAGAACAATTTTTTGTATTTCTTTAAGGCATGGGCTACCAGGAATCCCTTCAATGAGTCTACTCGAATCTTTTCCAACCAA